GCTCTGCTGAGGGGCGCGAGTAAGTCTCCTGAGCGCGCGAGTAGGTCTGCGGGGGACGCGAGTAGGTCTGCTGGGCTTGCAGCGGGCCGGGGGCGTAGCCTGCTGAGGGCCGGGAGTAGCTCTGCTGGGGCTGGGCGCCTGCTGCTCTGCTGGGGGCCGAGAGTAACTCTGTGGGCTGGCGCTGCTCTGCTGGGGCCGGGAGTAGCTCTGCTGGGGGCGCGAGAAGGTCTGCTGGAGGCGCGAGTTGGTCTGCTGCTGCTGGTAGCGGGCCTGGGGGGTAGCCCTTGCTGGGTCTTGCGGCGGGCTTGGGAGCGTAGCCCTGCTGGGGCCCGGCAGTAGGCCTGAGGCGTAGCCCTGCTGAGGCCCGGCAGCGGGCCTGAGGGCGTAGCCCTGCTGGGGCCTGGCAGCGGGCCTGGGGGCGTAGGCCTGCTGGGACTTGGTGGGCGTCAGCGCGGCCTGGTAGTCGCCCTGCGCTTGGTAGCCGCCCTGCTTGGCGTTGGGATACTGGGCCTCGCCCTGGTAGCTGACCTCGGCCACGTAGCCGGCGTCGCCCTGCACGGTGTAGGTCACAGTCTGGACGCGGCCGTCGGGCAGCGCCACCGAATAAGAGCCCTCAGTGTCGTAGCCGTCCCTAATCTCCTTGTGGTTATACTGGTTGTAGTCCTCGTCCACGCTCCACTCGAACGAGTACCGCGCAGGGCCGCTCTGCGAACGAGTCGCGTTTGAGCCGTGTGTGCTGGCTGCTGCACACTTTCCTATTGCCCAAATGTGTGCTGAATAATGAGTGAACGAATACAAAGCTACAAAAATACGAATATTTGTAACAATAAAAATAATTGTAAAAGGATGGATAATCGGGCGATCACAAGATGAATGCATGAATGTTTTAATTATATTATAATATATGAATAAGTAACTGCACGACTGTGTACGAATACAGCGCAAGTCACGGGTATTGACCCACTCAAAACTGTTCACAACTTCACCACGTAAAACATTACAATATTGATAAAATAGAAAAGGAGGCTAAACGCGACAAACAACTGACCTTCGAAATCATGGGTTACAGGTCATTTGACTATCTCGCTTAATCAAAGTTATGGACAAAGACAAAATCAAATTACCTCCTCCTGATAGCCGGTTCCCTTTAGGGCGGGAGCTTCGCTGTACCTGGGAACTGCTGCGGGCTTAAAGCTAGGGGCGGGAGCGGGCTGGTAGCTGGGGGCGGAAGCAGGCTGGTACCTGGTGGCCGGTGTGGGGGCGGGGCGATAGCTGGGGGCCTCCGTGGGGACGGGGCGGTAGCTCGGGGAGGGAGCGGGCTGGTAGCTGGGGGCGGGAGCAGGCTGGTAGCTAGGGGCGGGAGCGGGCTGGTAGCTAGGGGCGGGAGCGGGCTGGTAGCTGGGGCTGGGAGCGGGCTGGTAGCTAGGGGGGGAGCGGGCTGGTAGCTAGGGCTGGGAGCGGGCTGGTAGCTGGGGGAGGGAGCGGGCTGGTAGCTAGGGGCGGGAGCGGGCTGGTAGCTGGGGGCGGGAGCGGGCTGGTAGCTGGGGGAGGGCGAGCTGGTAGCTAGGGGCGGGAGCGGGCTGGTAGCTGGGGGCGGGAGCGGGCTGGTAGCTAGGGCTGGGAGCGGGCTGGTAGCTGGGTCTGGGAGCGGGCTGGTAGCTAGGGGCGGGAGCGGGCTGGTAGATGGGGGAGAGCGGGCTGGTAGCTAGGGGCGGGAGCGGGCTGGTAGCTGGGGGCGGAGGGGGCTGGTGGCTGGGGCTGGGGGCGGGATGGTAGCTGGGTCTGGGAGAGGGCTGGTAGCTAGGGGGGCGGGACGGGCTGGTAGACGGGGGCGGGAGCAGGCTGGTAGCTAGGGGCGGGAGCGGGCTGGTGCTGGGGGCGGGAGGGGGCTGGTGGCTGGGGCTGGGGGCGGGCTGGTAGCTTGGGCTGGGAGCAGGCTGGTAGCTAGGGGCGGGAGCGGACTGATAGCCGGGGGCGGGAGCGGGCTGGTATCTGGTGGCCGGCGTGGGTGCGGGGCGGTAGCTGGGGGCCTGGTTCGGACGGGGCGGGTAGCTGGGTGCAGGGGCAGGAGAGGAGCTGTGGTATTGGGCGGACGCAGCCGCTGCCACGGCGAGCAGATCACGCACCTGCAGAGACGGCATTGGTCAGTGTGATGGCTGTCTGTCATGCCTAGGGCAGAAATTTACAGCATTACCACTACCATGGCAGCGTTGCCGAATGCAATCTGGATATTGCTAAAGAACATGTTGTTAGTAGCGTCGTAGCCGGATAAGCAAAGAACCCGGCTGCAGGTAGTTCAATTTTAAGCCCGTTGTATGGCCTACACGGTATGCAAACGGATTGTGGTGTGTTGGTAACTGTTCTAAGAAAACTAGCTTGATGGTAAACGCTTTCATTATAGAAGTATTTTGCAGAACACAAACAAAGCTAGCACATGAACGATTGTCTGACCAAACGAGCTGACACGGAAGATCCAACATGTCTGAAAACCCGCGGTACTTTGTCGCGACAATGTGCGCCACGTAAGGTAGCAGTGCATCTTTTCCGCTAGGTAACGTTTTACGTAACGGTTCGACAACTAATCCAGCAGAGACTCATGAAGCAGAAAACCTTACATCCAAGGAAGTGTTAATGACGTGACCATGACGTACAAAGCTAACTGGGCCCCGTGAGCCACCGGGACGGTTCGCCCCGCGCACCGTAGATCCCACACGCTTCCCCGCTGACACGGCACGTCAGCCACGCAGCTAAACCAGCGGGGCGCCTCCTCACCTTCATGGCAGTTCGGCTTCTCCTGGCGTGTCAGCTGTTGAATTACTGCGGTCACTGGTGTCCACTCCCGAGCACCGGAGTGTTTTATACCAACGGCGACCGACTGCCACCTGGGTGTCAGTTTTCCAGAAGTGTGGCAATGTTGCAGAGACATTTAATGGGCGCAGGTCAGCATTGCGGCAGCCTTGAGAAAATTGGGACGTATCCATGGGAACGGATCGTGCCAAACGGCCGGGAGCGCCCCCTCGACGGTCAGACATGTGATTTTCCCGGCGGATATTCGCAATGGTGACGCCAGACGCGCCCCGACCGACCGAACGTGACCGGGTGTGGGCGGCGGCGCCCTCCGGCGGTCCTCTGCGCCGCGGCGCGGCCCGGCAGCGCCCGGACAGTCATCGTGTTCGGTGCATGGTGTGAGCACTGGAGCCGCCAAGAACCGTACCAATCAGGTGCCATTGGTAGAAATGTGATGTTCACTTGCAGTCGTGTCTTAGCGCTGAGATCCCATCACGAAGGAAGTCGATCCGGGAGTTACAGATTTATCCTTAGATTGGGTTGCACTGGATTGGATGTTTTACCAATGACGTGAATCTGACGCGCATTCGATCTTAGCATTGAACACGCCTGTTCGGATTGGAACGGATTTTGACATCAGTTGTCACCCCATCAAGACGCGAATATGCTCCATGGGATGCAATTTCTTCTCTGAAATCGGTTGAATTAGTATGTCCATGCGGTTGCACGCTTGCTCTGCTGCACTGATAAAATTACCGAAATTTTAATCATCTTTTTCTTCCAGTTTGAATCACCGTTGTAGGTGCCGTGGTTGTCGAGATACGGCGCCAAATGTGACAAGCGGCCGGTAACGGCCAAATAGGTCTAGCTGGCTCGCGCATGCGTGACACACAGCACATTCGACACGACAATTCATGCAACGCGATTATTCAATTCCACATCAACGCATGGCACTCCCAGTGGCTCCACGCCCTGGGTGCTGCGATGCGTACAAAATTCAATCTGTCCGGAGCACGTGGGTGTGACACGTAACATGCGCGCACACACACACGTGGAAACACACCACTGGCCGTTCGATTCCTTACTGCGTCATATGGTCTCGTTAACTACATGCTCTGAGTGCGGAAATGTGGCGCAAGACGTAAAAACCGATGAAATCAGCAACGTGGACCTTCACAGCTGGTGCGCATGTGGAACGCGGCACGAACGACATCACATCTTACATCACGTGATTGCCCGTTAGATTGTCTGTCGAAGCAAAGCACTCTCGAGCCGCTTCGTGCCCTAGATGTCGCAATATCACAGGAACGTGTAAACTCGTCGAAAATAGCCAAATTTCCATTTCAAGGCGTAGGCGGCATGACACGTGGCACGTGGGATCAATGATTGCTCTCTTAATCCTTCCATTCCGTCTTGAAACGTACCACTCCCGAGCGTGTCCACGTCATGGGTGCCGAGATTGGCACAACACGTGTGTACTCGTGGAAGAGAGCAAAATTCGTCTTTGAGTGCGTACCACATGATACATGCGACTGTACCATTTCGCACAGCACATCTTTTCGTGCCACTGCTTACCACTCGTGACTTCGTGAGAATATCGCGTATAGCGCTAATATCGCTGTTTGCAGAGGACCTATGTGCCCACTTTAAGAGCCGATACGAGCGTTAAGGAGCCTTCCACGTTGCCCTTTAGTTCTTTGCATTGCTCAGAGGGCCCTGCACTGTTGCTGGCCTTTCCCGATAGCGTGCCGGGGCGCTCCTGCATTCAGGGACCTTCAACGGATTCTTTCCACTCGCCAGAAAGGCTCTGTGGGTTAGGACCAGGGGTCCGACATGTCAACCTGTCAGGGTACTCTCAGTATGTCCCAGTGGCCCTTTACGTGGCTTCGGTCAATCTACCGACCACACTTGCGATATGCTCATAGCCCTTTTACATTGGTCTAGGGTGCTTCCAGTTTGCTGTGACTTGCCTTCGGGACCCTGCGCCCTTGTCGGGGGTCCATCTGTTGACCTGCTTCGGCACACTCGGCGTTCGAGACCCTCCAAATTGGGTCTTGTGTACTTTCTGTTTCAATATGGAGGGCTCTACACAACTGTCGGGGGCCATCTTTTTACCTCCTCGGGCACGCTGGATTGTTTGGGGCCGTGCACATTGTGTATTTTAATGTGGGGTCATACGCTCGTGTTGGGAGCCATCTGGTGGCCTGCTCGGGTACTCTCGATCTTTCGAAGACTCCACACTGGATCTTGGATACTTCTCATGTGAATGGCGGGCTTTACGCTCTTGTCGAGGGCTTATCTGATAACCTGCTTGGACACATTAGATCGTTCGGGGCGCTCTACATTGGATCTTGAGTGCATCCTATTCGAATGGGAGGGCCCTACGCACTTATCGGAGCCCCTCTGTTCGCCTCCACGGCCACACTGAGTGTTCGGGGGCTCTACACATTGGGCCTTGGTGTCTGAATTTAGGGCACTGCGCTCTCATTGGGGCCATATTCTGCTGCTGCTGCTACACTGCTACGCGGATACACTCCATGTTTCGGGGGCTCTCCGCACTGGGTCTTGAGTACTTCTTGTTTGAATGGAAGGCCATACACTCTTGGCGGGCCCCTTTTGATAAGCTGTTCGGGCACGCTCTATCATTCGGAGGTCTTCTACATTGAGTCATGGGACTTTCTTATTTGAATGGAGGGTCCTTCGCTCTTGACGGGTGCCTGTATGTTAACCCGCTCGAGTGTGCTCAATCATTTTGGGCTCTCCACATTGTGTCGCGAGTACTTCTTGTTTGAATGGAGGCGTTTGCACTCTTAGCGGGGGCCCCCATCTGCTACCTTGCTCGAGCACACTCGATCATTCCGGGGCCCTCCATGTCGTGTCTTGGTTACTTCTCACATGAATGGATGGCCCTATGCTCCTGGCGGACCCCACCTGTTAAGGTGGCGGATGCACGGGGGAGGGGAGGGGAGTGAGGGAACGGGACCATTGTCCCCCAGGGTTATGTCGAGAGGACCTATAGGCTCCGAAGGGGCCCTTAACCGGCCGAACGGACTCAGCTTTTTAATAAAACAAAAACGATGACAAAATTGGACGTTTATTTGGGCAACAGAAGGCCAAGAACGGTTGCTAGCAAAAGCAAATGGCTCATCAGCAAACAAAGCTAATTCTTTGCTGATTGAGCAGGTGTTGCTCGGGGGAAATTTCGAGGCTGATTACGCTGTTTGGGGGCCCTTCACTGTTGCCCTGGCCCTGCACGCCCACTCGCCGGGTCAATCTGATCGCCAAGGAGCTTTTTATGTTGCCCGTGATCTCTCTACACTTTGTCGTAGGACCCAACGGTGCTAATAGGACGCCATCCGCTTCCATGCCTGGGCACTCTTGATCAATCAGGCTCTCCTCCATGGTTTGCCCCCATTCGCCTGAAAGGCTGTGTACCCTTTTTCCGGGGCCCAATATACCAGGGTACACTCAGTTGCTCAGGTGCCCTTCGTGGTACTCTTGGCTTCCTTCCACTTGCTCGGAAGGCCTTGCGCTGTTGTTGGGGCTCATATCAGGTAATGCACCGAGGCTATCGATGCTCGGGGGCCCTCTGCTTTACCGAGGACCTTCTCCCTTTGATCTCATCTGCAGAGGACTCTTCACTCCTATCGAGACTCTTTCTGTTAACCTGCTCGGGTACTCCTGATCGCGCACGGGTATTAATTCATGGTCTTAGGTAATTCCCCTTTGCTCAGAGGGTCATGCGCTGCGACCAGGGTTTTTTATGTCAGCCTGTTGGGCATCACCGATCGTTGAAGAGTCCACGACGTTGATCTTAAGTTCTTTTCACTTGCGCTGAGCAACCTATACTTGTTGACTGGAACATCTTTGTTAACCTCCTGCGGCATTCATGATCGTTCAGGCTCTGTCCCTATTGGCATTCGTGCATTAACCTTAAAGCAGCAGTCAGATATACACCGATGATTTTTTACGCACATTTTTCGAACGCAATTTTACGTACCGCCTTCGTATGTGCCATTTTCACTGGCGATTGAGTGTGTGACACTTACATTTGTGCATCACGTTAGTAGCATATCTTGACTACTACAATGTTCTTACTCCTTTATAACAAAGTACAAAATCTGCATTAGTCGTCAGCCATCAGCTAGTCGCATCGCCCAGCAGGCTAGCCGTAAATTTGCTAGGAATCAAGTCCGTGCTCGGTTTTGATAGTATTCGGCAGCTATCTTGAGTTTATTTGCCTTTTTCCGAAATACGTAGTCTCAAAATTTTATTTTAAGACTACGTCATTTTACGAGACTACGTCACGACTACGTCATTCACAGACGTCATTTTAAGATGGTCTGTGGAAAACCAATGAACTTCATTCTTGTGCACACGTGGCACGCCTAGTTTTACAGGACTGCGCACAGTGGAATGGGTTCCCGTATTGATTTCAGATATCTGTGTCTATCTATCTGTCTATATATATATATATATATATATATAATATATATATATATATATTATATCCTCTCTCTCTCCTCCTCTCTCCCTCTCCTCTCTCTCCTCCCTCCTCTCTCTCCCTCCTCTCTCCTCCCTCTCCCTCCTCTCTCCCCTCCCTCCTCTCCTCTCCTCTCCTCCCTCTCTCTCTCCTCTCTCCTCTCCCTCTCCCCCTCTCCCTCTCTCTCTCTCTCTCCTCTCTCTCTCTCCTCCAGCTCTCTCTCTCTCCTCACTCCCTCACTCCCTCACCTCCCTCCCCCTCCTCTCTCCTCTCTCTCTCGTATCTCCCCCCCCCTCCCTCCCTCTCTCTCCTCTCTTCTCTCTCTCTCTTTCTCTCTATGCATATATGCATACT